GATCTGTGTTTGTTTTACAGAATGAAATGTCTGAATGAGTGCTCATCCAAGACTGGTGATTCCATACTATTTGCTATATGCTTCAACCTGCCACAGATGGGGACAAAAGTCCCTTCCTCTGTTATTATGAGTCAATAGCTTATAAGTTTGGAAACCGCTGTTCTAACTGCCTTACAAAATGTTTATACCCGACTCACCTCATCCATAAGTGGTTCTCCAACCTCCTCACACCAATCCAGCTTCCTTAAGTGCCAACAGGTACCTGAAAAGGTTACAACCAGAGCTTCGACATGAGGGAAACAGAAAATAAATCTGTTTAAGAATAAATCTAGAAGAACAACAACAAAAAAAAAACTATTATTTTACCATCAAGCCCAACAGCTTCTAGCATTGCTTTGAGACACTGTAAAAAAAACAATAAAAACGTTTTAAAGAAGTATAAAAGTATCTTATCTGAACGCATTYAGAATATTTTCTCACTTCTTTGACAGTGCAAGTTTTCTCCACAATAATGTCCATCTCCATGCCAGCAGAGGGAGCAGAGCCCACAGTGAAGTGCAAGAACAGCTGCAAGGAGGAGAAAAACTTGAATCAGTTACATTTCCTTGATTTGTTTTACAGTGTAGGACACGGTTAAAGCTCCTGCAGCTTTCCTCATTGCAGCTGCAAATAAAGACGACATCAGTGAAGAAAAGGGAAGGAAAAAAAAGGCACACCTGTGATTCCCTGGGGCTATTTCCAGGACAGAGAGTCAGTGTGGTCATGAGCCGCACGCCTGCGTCCCGAACACTCAGCTCCTCACACACTGTCAGAAAACCAGGAGATAACTGTTAAAAACCTGATTTAAAGACTTCAAAGACAGATGATTGGAAGGAAAATTACAAGCAGGGAGGGGGAGCATCTGTTAAACATTTGCAGGAGGGCTGCGTGAAGAAAGAAAAAAGTCTGACATTTTGCCAAAATGAGGGGGATTTCCAGCTCTTAAGTAATGTGCCATACTGAAATCAACCCCAGGTAAGAAATGAAACAGTACCTGGAGGAAGGAGTTTCCCTGTGCAGTCCACCTGTCTCAGACAGTACTGTGCACCTGGTCACAAACAGAAAAAAAAACACACAGATGTTTATTATGAGGGTAAACTTACACAACACCAACTAAGAAATAAAAACATTTAAATAAAGGCCTAGCATTGCTTGAAGTAATACATCTCACTCACTGTTTTTACGTCAGAGGTTTACACTAAGATCATATTATTAGAAGGGACAGTTATAAAACCTTGTAATTAATATGAGATTTTGCTAAATCTATTAGMGCTGTGTTGAGGATGACTCAGCTAATACCACATCAAACTCAGTATCATTGCTCAGTATCTGTAAAACTGACTGAGTTGTAGCTAATTTTGTGTTAGCTATGTCAACCCTCTAAAATTAAGTGACTCTATTGTGGAAAATAAAAAGGTCAATCAGTTGTTGATGTTTATCTACTGGTGACCTCCTGAGAGTTGTTTACAAAGATAAAACTTAAGACAAACTTAAATCTTAAAGGGATCCACGATTAGTTCTTTATTTGATAACCATATATTTTAACTGTAAAACTAGAAGCACTCGGACAGCGCAAACCTCCGCCAAGTCCAATTTCCCCCACCCTGTAATAAAGTAAATGCACAAAAGCAGAGATGGAAACACATTTGCCGAATAAGTTGTGACGTAGTGAACATTTAAGCAGGCAGTATGCACGGAATTTCTTCCCGGTGGATTCCAATGTGGAAAAAAAAAAGAAAGTCAGACTCGTCACCCGACATTATTCATCGTCAAACTGGTGTCAGATTAAGCTCCTAAGTTTTCATCAGTCACATTTCACTGTGTAAAATGTCTGTTTTATCCCCTTGTATGAGTTTGTAATGGTTTGACTCTCTTCATAAAGTGCTTCCTGGTACCGTCGCTCTGGAAGCGAGTGGGTCAGCGCGACTGAAAACATGACCTCGCCCCTGGTCTCATTTAAATAATAAAAATGAACAAACAAGCAAATAAACAACCTCCGAGTCTGAAGTCCACCGCACCTGTGCGCATCAGTCCTCTTCCTCGTTCTTCATCGATCTGTTTACAAGCCTACGACAATGTGGTGTGTTTGAGGAAATGGGAAAAAATGGGTTTCATGGTGCAGTCACGCACTTCCTGGTCACAAGACGTTCTCTAAATGTGCACCAAATGCGTAAAAATGTGCACATTATAGCAAGACTTATTCATCATTGCACATGGTTTTAACATTACTTTTTAAAAGTTTAAAGTCTGTGCTGTGTAATCCAGTTCAAATGAACACTGAAAGCTCTCAATGTTTTTTACAGAAGCCCTGTGAAAGCATCACAGCTGTGCCGATCTGAGAGGATTAATAGAAAAAAAATCCCTGTGTCTGCATCGTGATCCYGAACACCACCAAAATTTAATGGTGTGTTCCTTGGGCGAGTACCCACATGTGATGTAAATGTCATGACAATCCGTCCATAAGTTTTTGAGTAATGTTGTCCACAGACAGACAGACCGACATACGCGACCGAAAACATTACCTCCTTGGCGGAGGTAATAAAGACTGTAAAAATACTTTAGGATGTTTAATTTTTATAATTTTAAAAATATATTTTAACACAGACGGAGCCATTTTAATTACACGCAAAGCATTCTGGGTACATGATGATGTGGATAGGTCCTCGGTGCGAGGCTGCTAGCGAGCTAAATCCACCCTGAAGGTTAATCTTGGACAATATCTGACGATTGYCTCTTTTAAATGAAACCAGAGAGCGTCGACAGAGAGGAGAAGGTAGAAATGACTCAGCCTGTAACTGAAAATATGGATGGAGGACAACAGAGCTGCTTCATGGAAGAAGAACCTCAGCTTAGCCTGTTAGCCTTTGCGCTAGCGCCGACGCTATATTGCCTTATATGTATTAGCTCGATGCTAGTGCGACAAGCTAAACTGTTGACCTCCATCCATATTTTCAGTTGCATGCTGAGTCATTTTTGTGTTCCCCTCTCTGTCATGTGGATGGAGGACCTCAGTGATGAGAGGAGAATGTGTAGCGCTACTTTAAGCTATTTCTGCACCTTCACCTAGTAGTGGGATGCAGTCATTTTACGAGAACAAAAATTGASACGCATTATGGAAGATGTAGTTGAAGATGTAGTTTATGGTCAATGCTGGCTTTAAAGCAGTATTCGTTTATTTTAAAACATTAACACATCTTTGAAGATCCCACGGGCCATATAAAATGCTGTGATGGGCCAAATGCCTGTTCTTTCATTTTATTACTTGTATTTTCTTAACCATTGTGTTTTTGTCATGTTAAGTTATTTATTATGCTTCACCTTTCACTTTGAATTAAAAAAAATCTTTTAAGAGGTATAAAACTGTTGTATCTTATATTGTAGGATTGTATTTAGATTAGTTTTTCATGATGTGTGTTTCTGACTCTTGGCCAGATCACTTTTGAAAAAGAGATTACTTGATCTCAATTTTTTTTGGCTAAATATATTGACAGCAGGCTAGAACTATTTAGATAACTTTAACTATGAGAAAAAAATGTTTTTATAGTCACTTATAGTTATAATTGATTCCSAGAAAGTGACCTAGAATTTACTTTTTAACAGCGTGGTGTTTGTGACATTCTGAGAGGATACTTAAAGTTTTCTAATTCTTTTCAACTCAAACTCGTCACAAAGCTGATATTTTCCCCTCATCAATCTTCATAATACTTTGAAATACAGATGTACAGTAAAAAATCAAACACAGAAAAACCCATAAATTAGATTAGTTGAACAAGTTTTATGATGTTCTTCTTTTACGAGTCCATCTGCTGCTGCAGTGCTATAATTATGGATAATTCTGAGCATCTTGCCTGAAGGCTGCTCCTGCAGCTGCAGCTCCTCCAAGGCTCTCTGTTTCACTTCACACAGCAGCTGCACCAGASAGGAGAGAATTAATCAGCTGAAGAATTTAACACCTCGATAAAGAGATAAGAAGACAACAATAAAGAGCAATTATAAAGACGTAAATTACTGACCATACTTCCTGTGGCTGGAACCTTGATTCTCTTCCTCTCCTCCTCCTCTTTTTCCTCTTCACCTCCTTTTAATTGCGGTCGAAACTCCACCTGGAGCCAGCGGCAGTCCGACGGCGTGGTCACGGTGACGACGTCTCCGTTCCTGGTGAACACGCTGAGCGCAGAAACCAAAGCTCTCCTTCAGAGACGAACAGAAAAAACAGAGGTGACGGAGCGCCGGAGAGCTCACCTGCTGTCAAACAGCTCCGGCTGCAGCACCAACAGGGCGTCTCCATCGCTCAGCGACAGCTCCTTCAGGGTCCGATGCATGTCGTCGGGGGGGAACACTTTCCACCCGCTTGCACCCCCTCCCTCCCCTGCCCTCTGTTCCCCCACCTTTCCCTCTTTATGCTCCTGGCAGAGCAGACTCTCCTTARGCTCCCCGAGTGCCTCCCTCACCTCCCCGAGGGTCGCGCCGCCCGCAAACCCCCTTGCTTCCCTTTTAAGTCCTGGTCCCCCACTTTCGAAGTCTTCGCCACTTTTGTCGCACTCGACCCCGTTTTGCACCTCGGCGTCTTCGCCCAAAGAGGGACGGACAACAGTCAGCAAGACTGGTTCCCACTCGGCTCCCACTGGGARGGTCACTCCACAAACCTGAAGATATTTAAGTAGGACTGAAATTAACTAGAAAAAAAACACCAAGTGCTGAATGATTTTTTTTCCTCACCTCTCGACCATTCCACACAAAAAGATCAGTGTTTGTGACGATTCCTGCGCTGTACAGGGACACACTGTCATCTGCAAAGAAATAAAAACCAACATTTATTCCTACATAGCGTTATAGTTGAGCTCATTGTCTGTAAAACTGAATAAGTTACAGCATTATTTGTGTTTGCTAAAGTGGATTAGCTGTGGCAGCCATCTTGGARAGTTGAAAGTTTTAGTCACAGACAGATTCAGTGATTTCCTGAGAGATTATATACATTCTGTCCACTTGACAGACAAAAAAAAAAAAAACATACATAGGTAAAACCATTATCACCCACTTTTCAATGGTGGGCAATAAAAAGTATTAAAAAGTTTCTAACCTGTGAGAGTATTGTAGAGATGTAGACCTGCAGGCAGGCTCTTGGCCACAGTCAGAGCCATGTCTCTTTCCCAGAGCTCCTGCATCTGCAGGTGAGCAAAACATAAAGTTCAGCTTATAACTGTCAGGATTTTAGGACACAGCAGCATTTGTTTTTAAAATGTACAACACCTGATAAACAGCGAGGCGCAGATCTCCTACAGTCTTCCTCTGGTCGAAGCTCAGGGCAGTGGTCCCACTTAGTTCTTTGCTGATGGGCTGCAGAGCTCCGTTCTCCAGCCTGTAGGAAGGTGCCAGGTGCAAACACAGCTCCACCGTGTTATTTCTGGCTTCAAACTCCTCACTGAAACGGAAAAATAAGTTCACCTTTTCTTCGTTTTMTAGACGTTTACACTTGTACTCACCAGTTCTCTAATATCTGACTAAACTCTGAGTCAGCTCACGCTCAGSAGCTGGAAATAACATGATGTGTTTCTTTACCGCTTCTGTTGCAGCTTGATGTTTTCATCCTGAGCCATCTGGATGAGATGAGAGGGAACTTTGTACTGTGGATTGTTCAGAGCTAGGAAAAAAAGAAAAAAAATAGACAATTATATAAAACTGGAAACTAAAAAC